AGATGTGTATAAGAGACTCACTTATCCTATTATCATGGAACAGTTAAATGGATATACATAAAACACGCCGGGTGATTTAGTTGCCGTGTGGTAAAAAAAATGGGCATGATTGACACAGAAGGTGCAACTTTCAAGTGGCCTGAAAATCTCATTGGGTTCATTATTACCACATCAAGGGTGCAAATTCGTAACTTGGGGCTCAACTTAGTACTTGCAGGGTTCACAACAGCACCACAAGGTTCAATCAGCACCCATAGAGGTCCACTTGAGCAACTTAGCAAGTTCACATGAGTACCTTATCAGGTTAACATAAGTACCTTTAGCAGGTTAAAGCTTGGTTTCCATAAAAACGCTATACGCTAATTACCCACAGCTTTTGGTTGGTGTCCAAACATCGCTAACACTTTCGCCAACAGTGCATGTTGAACTTGGTTCAACCGTTGCAGACAAAACAGGATCATGTGCCCACCCCGCCACCCCGATTCGTCTGCAATGCAATCAGCAAAGTTGAACCAGGTTCAACCTTCCCGACAACTGTCGGCGACTGTCGCCGATAGTGTTAGCGATTTTATGGAAACCAAGCTTTGTGCTGATTGGTCGGTCGCATCAGGGAGCCTTCCCGACTGCGTCGGGGCTGCTAGCGCGTTACAACGTCGTTACAAATTATATTAGGCACCTTGAGTAATCACAGTACCTTACGGGTTCAAATCAGCACCTAACAGGTTTACATGAGCCCTCGCCTGGTTGAAATTGGCACCTCGGCAGGTTCGCATGATTGGTTAGTAAATCCACCTTAGCAGGTTCACATGAGCACCTCAGCAAGTTCACATGAGCACCTTATTAGCAGAAATAACAGTTAAATCTCATCGTGTGCGGCGGGCTTTAAAGAAGTGCACGCGCGTACGACGAATGACAGTTAGGCGCGTGTAATGTGTGCGGGCAGGCTTTTTTTCCCCGCCGGCGGCTGAATGAAATCAGACAGTTGATGACGCACCCTCTGTTTATATGCACATATGTCTTGTCTAACCTCATTAATGTTTGTCTGGTTGTTGACGTCTTTCCATCAAAAGTCGAAACATTTATTGGTCGGTTGTTCTTCTTTTCATCAGTCATTTGGCCATAACAAAACTGCGTAAGTTAAATAGGCCTAGACCAAACCTAGGCCTATGCTACCTAGGCCTAGCATAGGCTAGGCCTAATAATAGGGGCCTATCAGATAGATAGACCCCCAGGCACCCGCCCGTAGCCTGGCCCTAGGCCTACTGCCATTTAGTATAATTAATAATTGTATGCTCTCGTCTGAACCAAAATAAGAGTTAGTCAGACAGATGAAATAACATGCAAAAGGGCATTTTTGTACTCGCATATAACTCTATGACTCTTTATTGTAGTCTCACAATAGAGATGTTGGTGGTTCAAATTCTTTGATTCAGCCCAATCAGCTTATAGCTTTTTGGGAAAGCACATACAATTGGAACAAAAAGTGGATTTAAGGTATAAGATTACATTGATAATGAAAATATGGTATAAGGCCTATCTACTTTATCCCAATCACCTTATTTTCAGGTAAAAATCATATACTGGCACAAATACGGCACAGAACTGACTGTCCCTTAGAAAATTGTAAAATCATAAAAAATCGAATCAAAAAATTACTGTACTATGTACACATAATGTAATCACCTTAAAGATGAAACATATCGTAAACCACAATATTTATTATAATATAACAATATTAAATACAATAAACAATAAAATTGCTAAAAGCAAATGTAAGATTTCTCATACTCAAATGGCTGTAAATGTTTGAATATTGAGTTTTAGTATGTGTGTGTCATGGTAAATGTTTTTTCCGATTGTCGAAGTGACAGTGCATCTTTGAATTTTTGAGATGATATTTTCTCTATTTGGCATCTTAGGATAATACGTCAGGAGAAAACCAAGCCAGCATCAAGCATGTAACAGATTTAATGGACCTTTCAAAGAAGTGTAACCCAGACCAGAACATTATGGTCGATAAACTAGAGCGTACAAAGGAATATCGTTTAAAATATATTGCCGAGCACTCTGTGAAAGACGTGTTGGAGAAATTTCCTTTTCTTAAACTAGAAAATGAGGTAATAATTAAATATCCAAATCAATTATGTAGCATGTCAATAATAATTGAGACAAATAATTCCATAAAAAGGAATGTAAGTGGCCTATAGTTATTGAGAATATAATGCTAGGGGATTACACTTTTCCCATCTACTATTAAAGCTTTGTTCCACTTAAAAAGAAGCAGAACTGGCATTATTCATGAAGGAAATGTTTTTACAGAACTCTTGTATTCTTCCTCATGGAAATACCAGTACCATTTTAAAATGACAATATGGTGAATTATTTCATGGAGAGAATAAAAAAAATATATATAAAAAGCCAATTTTTTTTTTTTAAGGTAGAGATTTATTTTATACTAGAAAAACTGTAACATATCCAGTGAATAGATGATGCATTATATTTGTCCTCTAATCATTAGTTGTAATAACTGACCATAGAAGTGTTTGTCATATTAGTTAAGTAATACGTTTTTTATCCGAATAAACATTTGAAGTGTTTAATACTGCTTTGTTTGTGCTTTTATTTTTGACACAGGTGAAAATTAGCATTAATAGAATAGTGTAATGCAGTGTAATGAGTATGTAGGACAAGTAATCCATTCTTAATTCCCAACCACTACCCAGTACATATTTACTACTAATTGTTGAATGTTGAACTTGTGTAGTGTTAAGGTGCTGATGTGAACCAGCTAATGTTCTGATGTGAACCTGCTAAAGTGCTGATGTGAACCTCCTAAGCTATGATGTGAACCTCCAAAGGTTCTGATGTGAACCTGCAAAGGTTCTAATGTGAACCTCCTAAGCACTGATGTGAACCTGCTAAGGTGCTTATGTGAACCTGTTGAGGCGCTGATGTGAACCTTCCCAAGGTGCATATTTTAACCTGCTAAGGTCCTCATGTGAATCTGCTGAGGTGCTGATTTCAACCTGTAAGGTGCTCGTTTGAACCTGCTAAGGTGCTGAGTTGAACCTGCTAGATGCTTATTTGGACCTTATAAGGTGCTCATGTAAACCCCAAGGTACGAAAATGCACATTTAGTGTGCTAAAATGAACCCCAATAAGGAGCTTTTCTGACCACAGTTTGCACCTTCTGTCAATCATGTCATAATTAAAGGGTACAATTTTGAACCCCAAAGGAGCATTACTGTACCATATAATGGTGTGTCTGTCTCTTATACACGGTTGCACCTTTATTTAGAGGTACAATTGTGCACCTTAAAAGGTGGCTGTGGTGTTGCATCGTTTTGTACCTTTTTAAGTAGGTATTTGCACCTTTTTTTTTAACAGTGGATGGTACAACCCTCCATTCAACAAAGCTGTGAAAACCGACATCGGCAGATCCTTCCTGAACTTGGTTAAAAACACTTTCCTGTAGGCAGTACACTTCACAAGCTATTAAAAAAAATAATGTCAAAGTTAGCTATAGCTGTTCTAGAAACATGGGAAACATCATTCAGTTCCACAACAGCAGAATTCTTCGCACCAAACCACAAGAACCATCTAATACATGCAACTGCCGAAAGAAAGATGAATGCCCCCTCTCAGGAAACTGCCTCGCATCAAAGAGTAAATCGGACTCACAGACAACACATTCAAAACCAGATTTACAAATCATAAGCACACATTTAGCTCTCCGAAGCATAAGAACAGCACCGAATTATCAAAACGTATGGAAACTTAAAGATGTACCAGTACTGTCCCTTGAAAATGACCAAAATCATAAAAAAATAATTTTTAAATTAGCTTAATTTTGCAGTAACATACAAATTATTAACTTGAGCATAGAAATTATTATTAAAAAAATGTGTTCCCTGATTTTTTAACTGGATAATTATAATAAAGATAATAAAACACTTCAAGTGACTGGAAGTGTTTCTATCATTTTTTCGCTGTAAAATAATGGTTTTTACGGGTAAGCATTTTTTAAATACACTAATTTCTATGTTCAAGTTGATAATTTTTATGCTACTTCAAAATGGGCAAGTAAATTTCAAAACTGATTTTTATGATTTTTTTTTGTTTTTTGCAAGGGACAGTACATCTTTAAAGAAAGCAACACCCAATTCAACATTAAATGGTCCATAATTAACGTGCACTCAGTACGGTACTTACTTGTTTGTCTATTAAAGCCTCTTTTTGCTGCTTTTTCATTTTGTGTTTTTATAGTTGTAATCTGTTTATTTGTCTTTGTTGTTTGTGTGACTGTTCTATTGTAATGCATAGGGTTCCTGATAATGACTGATTTTATGCCTACCATTGTTTTCCTGAATTTGTTAGGCTTGGCTTGCGCTTCATAACCGCAAGGAAAAGGCACAATGGCAGTACCAGTACAATATACATAGGCCTATATATATAATTGTTTACAGTAATATATTTCGTTTCGTTTGTATTTTTTTTTTTGTATATCTATAGTTAATTAGGCCTTATGTTACCATCAGTGTTGGTGAGAGGCGGCCACACGATATTTATTCAAGTTATAAGACATGAAATACTCGCACCTGGGGCTGAAACATAGTGAGAGCCACTTCACAACTTGTCAACAGTACAAGCTAAGGTAACTAAGCATGGCCGGCCGAGAATGGTCAGCGTGTGGTTCGAACCCTCGACAACGAGCTCCACAACCTGGACGCTTCGCTGCGCCAAACCGCCTTTGTGAGGTATTTTTGTCCAAATATACAGTTATATGATTCATAATTGTAACTTTTATTTATTTTTTTGTTTAGTTGTTTATTTTGGGATTACTAATTAAGTTAATTTCTGTCTTTTCTGAATTTAATTAACGTCCTTTAATTTGTTGATCTACTCATTGCTTCACTTTGAATTTTGTTTCTAATTGTTTTTTTATCTCATTCATTATTGGTCGATTATTTTAATTGTTTTGTTTAGTTAATTTTAATTTGTTGTTTTGAACACACTCATTTGACTCATGCCACTGTTATATATAAACCAAGATTCTCTACTTAGGATATGAGTAGCCCATTCACAATTGGTTGCGCGTACCGGTTACCGAGCAACCGAGAAGTAAAAAACCAATTTGGTATTCAAACAAGATCCCTTCATTTAACCTCTATATACAAATATTTGAATACATAATTATTTTATAATATCTAGTTGTTACGATTTTGAAAAATCTATCACAGCAGGGGTCCCAAGTTTTACGAAACTCGCTGGAGTCTCCGGGAAATCGATACGGCCTCCCGCACTCCCGCAAGCAAGCAAGAAAAACAAAATAAAAAGAAAATATTTATAACATATCATAAATATCATGAGATGTAATATGCCAACTAGATTTCCTAGTCAGTGGCTGCCATAACTGATATAGGCCTATTTTCAGTGGCTAAATTTATTATTATTATTATTATTATTATTATTATTATTATTATTATTATTATTATTGTTATTCAAGTTTGAGGAATAAATTTTCTTCAAAGTAACAAAAAATCAACCCCTGAGTAATGTGCATGGGAATGGTTTGAAAGTGAGCAAGATAATATAGGCCATATGTAGACTAAATAGCGCCAAAAGTGATCACTGGGTGCTCTCCGTGGTCCTATTCTTCACTTCAAACAAGATTTTTTTTAAAGCAAAAACGCGTTATGATGTAGGGGTTACCCCACTCAGATCTTAAATTAAACCCTGTAAACTGAACTATAAAAATACTCCCAAGATTGGTATTCTTATCAGTGGCGTAGAAAAATATTTTTCATTGGGGGGGGGGGGATGATTGGCGTGTTAGCCAGTGTCGTAACAGGCGCGGGTGGGGGGAGCTGCCCCTCCCCTGACGGTTTTACCGGGCTGACCAAGCAGTCGTACCGGGCTGGGTAATAAGAGAGAAGAAAGATGGGAGAGGGAGGGAAAGAGAAAGAAGAGGAAAAGAAAAGGAAAGAAAAAGAGAAGAGAAAAATAAAGACAAGAATAAAAAGGAAGATATCATAATGA